GATGTGAAGTCCACCCCCCAATTAAAACATGTTCATGCAATACTAAATACATTTGAAGCCTTTTTATATAATATGTCCACAATGTCAATACGTTTCTCTGTTTGAAGTGTATTGGTCTTTTGTAGAGGTTTTTCATTGCCAGCTAAAATCGTGCCTATAGGGCAGCAAATTGGTCAAAACCGGCCCTGGTGTCATCCCCAAAACACCCCCCATTTGAAACATGTTCCCACGGCTATGCCACACGCAGTCTATTAAGTGACTTCCAGGTTGTCCAGCCAAGGTCGTGGCCACTAGCGAGGCTTTCCGTTGGTGTGATTCCTCTGTCCAGCCATTCAAGAGCTCGTGTGTAATGTTTTTGCCATTCATCTTCCCAGATGTTGGTCCTTGCTGCTTGTTTGGTTGTCTGGAGGGGCAGGACTGTCTGCAGAAAACTAGCTCTGGATCGGAGCCTGCGTGGGGGTGCTACGTGGCCATGCAAGGGGTGTCTGATGTCTGTCTCCTGTGTTCTCCGTTCATCTTGAGCGATAGCTAGTCGTCTGATGTGCGGGGGAGAGATGCCGGCTAGCGTGTAGAGGCACGGGACAGGTGTTGTCTTAACGCATCCCGTGATGATGCGGCAGGTGTCATTCAAGGCTGTGTCGACCAGTTTGGTGTGACATGATCGGCTCCAGCTTGAGCAGGCATACTCTGCTGTAGAGAAACACAGGGCCATGGCAGTTGCACGGATTGTTGGTGGATCTGCGCCCCACTTGGAGTTCACTAGTTTGCGCAGGATGTTGTTGCGGGTGTTGACTTTGGCTTTGGTGTTCAGTCAGATAATATCCACATGTCTACTGCACCACTCTCACCACCGTTAGAAAGTAGCAAGCAACTGAAGCAAGTGCAATTATGGAGGGTGGAGATTTGGAGTATTTAATCAAAAATAATTGTACTAAAAATCCGCTACTGCAGCAACAACAAATGAAATCTGATGACAGGCCAATGCCCAAACTGGAGGAAAAAAGGAGCGAATCGGACGTAAAACGTTAAAGGTCTCCTGATTTAGTTTGTGAATGAATGCTTATTAGAGTTTCGGCTGGAGAGTGCGTGCGGACCTGTCGGTTAGATAACAGGCGTGTGTAAGTCCTGCATCTGTATGATACAAATATGTGTAAAATGATACCGGGTGCTGTAATCACTCATCTGGTAACGTTATTACTTTGAACACCTCACCCCCGACCCAAAAGAAAGGACGTATTATTGGCTTCCCCTATTTTTTTCCCACGCCACGCTACTGATTGCTGGTATGATTACAACCTGGTACAAAGCACACAGGTATCTTGTTAAAGTTATCTAATCTTAGCTATCTCTTATATTTAGTAGAGAAAAACTATAACATTACGTACGCGACTCTGGGATTTGTAGTCTCAGTTGCATATTTTTCATAGTCTTATATTTCAACAGTTTTAAGACAAACTGTGACTTTTTTGACATGGAAATGATTATTTAAGATTGACAAACATCTTAAGTGTAATTTGTGGCACAATTCAAACGGGATCGAAAGATAATCTTTCTCTCTCCATTGACTTCAATACATAATTTTTCCGAAATAAGGTCCCATGGGGCGGAAGTAGATGGGCGGGACTTCGCCTCTCTATACTTCTTTGTACATTTTTTATACACAAATCTAAGTTTACAAATTCTACATTTTGTGTATTTCATGATTTTATTTTAAAAAGCCCTAGAAGCTAATTATAAGAAATGAAACAATAAAGTAAATATTTAATACATTTACTTTATAGTATTCTTATTTATTGTAAATAGTAATGTCTGATATGTTTATTCTTCTCTTTATTATGCACTTGCTCTATCCTGTTGGTTCATTGTGAAGTACCTGAGAGCCATGTTGTTTCGTACATCGTTCAGATTAAACAAAACAATATAAACTCTGCGACTCACAAACACTGCCCCCTTCAGCATGTCAGGCACGACCATGGGAACGAAGCCCTGCAGGAGTCAGAGGGAAAACTCAACGTTAGCTCTCCAAAACAGAATAATAACATACATTTAGAAATGACATCTTATATTCTCACACATGCTCACCCGTCGCTGCAGGGTGTCGAGGGCGAAGTTCTGCAGAGCGGTCTGAAGTCTGGCCCCCGCTCCCCTCAGGTAGTACGACCTGTGGCCCGAGATGTGAGCCAGATGTCTGCAGGAACAAAGCATAATGATCCCCGTTTATATCAATTAGCTTAAAAAGAATAGTTCGGATTTTTTAAAGTGTGTTTACAGGACGTTTTCATCCATAATCAGTGAATTACTACAGAAGATGGAGGTCAGCTCAGCCCAATTTTTGAAACACAGAAGGGTGTACAGAAGTGACTGTTATTTTGTATATATTGATTGTTGTGTTTTTATCTTAAAGGTAGGTAAGAATGAAGAAACCAGTTAGAGTGCGCTAGAATTTGAAAGTACGCAGCCGAAAACAATCTGCCCCTTCCTTCAGACTTCCTTACAGAGCCCCTCCTCCAACACACACGAACGCGCACATGACCAATGAGGGCACGAGATAAGTTTGTGCACAGATGGAAGGCTGACAGGCAGGTCGGCCATCCAGTTACTTTAGCCGGGCCGGCTCAGATGATTGGTCGTGCTTTTTACAACACTAGGGCTTCCACGGATGATATTTTTTTATGTATTTTTTGTCAAAGCATTTAATATATTCATTGCTATCGGGATGTTAAGAGCATTCCATGGAATATAACAACAAGTGAATTACCTACCCACCTTTAATGTGTGCATATGTATAAATGTGTCTGTTGATTGTGTATATATAGCATATACATATTTTAATTTTATACATATTTGTATTTTTGTATTCGGGATTGTGGGAAACGGTTTTTTCGATCTCTCTGTCTGTCCACACACACACACTGAAAGATTGACAATAAAGTTGACTTTGACTTGTGCCACTATGGAAGCTAAGCAATGTTCTGCTGTGGATGGAGGCATCCATAGCTGGCACAGGTCAAAGTCAAAGTCAACTTTATTGTCAATCTTTCAGTGTGGTGTGGNCCTAAAAAAACTATATGAATATAAGTGTATTCAATATTTGTCATATTTCCATTGACCAAAACAGTATTTTATTCCTTAGAGGACACATGACATGGGTGCTGGGCTGCTTCCTTGGTCACTTAGTAAGTCTGTGTTATCGTGTGATTTTGATGTTTTAAAGTATTAGATACATTTAAACAAAAGGCAAACAATATCGTCAATTACTCCTGCGTTCAGAAAGGTAAAACTACTGTTTTTGTTAGAGTCTGGTGGCTTTGAAGAGAGCATGGATGGATAAAGAAGATCCCTGTTGGAAAGCACTTTCTGATGGCTGATAAAAGCTGTACAAATATTTTAAATATAGCATACTATTGGTTTTATATTGATTTTTTAGGTAGCTTGAATAAGTTTTGCTGCTCTTTGTCCACAGCAGCACATTGTTCAGCTCTTGTGCCGTTACTTAAGTCTGTTTCTCCAAAATGGGGTCCAGTTCACCGGCGTGTACTGTAAGTAATAGACTGTGTATAAGAACCATCAAACCATTCCTTTAATATTAGACTAATTATTAAACCAATTGGATCATTTTTATACATATTGCACGTCAACATTTGTACTTTCTTTGCTCTCACTTGCAGGCTGATTCAACAGACGAAACTAACGTCCTCTTTCCCTCAGTTTTATTAAAAAAGATGGACCTAAGTGTCAAAAAGAGTAGTGCACACGTGAAAGTGTAATATAAAGTGGGAGATATGAGAGCGGTCCTCACCTCTGCCTGATGAGACCCAGCTCCTCCCCCAGCTCCACATGGCCTCTGGGCTGGAAGTCAAACTCTGCAGCAGATAGAGAGCAGATTATGAGATTAGTGTTTTCTAAATCACACAGAGGTAAAGCACTTTGGATGATTATCATTGATCTGACACTCCTGATCAATCACCTGGTTTCTCTCCAACCAGCTCCACCACCTTCGCCTGGCTCTCGTCTCCAACCGGCTGGAAGAGGAAAAGACAAAGTATGTTGAGTACCCCAAAGTTGTATGTTAGAAATGTACAGTACGGGTCCTCAGTACATAGAAACTGCCGGATGCTAACTCACATATAATGGGCTATTTGCACAATTGGCATAAATTGCATTATTTAGCATATGCAGATAACAGCTAAAGAAATTGCATGGCCGATTTGGACACTTTTGTAGTGGTTATGGAGGTTATTTAGGATGCTGAATCTATTTCGGACCTTTTAAGGATAAAGAATGGCAGTTTTGAGTCCAGTGCTTCTCAAAGTGTGGTCCGCGGACCACTGGTGGTCTGTGAGCGCCCCCTAGTGGTCAGTGAGTATATTGGTAACATTTCACATTTGATATAAATAAAGTTTTCCGCACTCTCGCGGGAATATCTCCGCAATGGAGCGAGCTTAAGTTTCACTTTCAATTGCATGATATAGCCCCGCGCAACACCTTCATCACACGTGTTGCCACTTGTTTGTGCCATTTTCAGGCGATTTGTAATCTGTTCTAGAAAAACGATGTGATTTTGGATGTTTGTGGAGTTAGGTGGTCCGCGAGTGTTTTTTTATTGGTTAAGCGGTCCTTGGTATGAAAAGGTTTGAGAAACACTGCCCTAAAACTTTAAAATCTACCCAAAATGAATCACATCAGCACACCGAGAGCACAAAAATTGCAACTCTCTGGTTAAAACTGTCATTTTTGATCCCCATAATGTCAGTAATTGATTCAATATCCCCGATAACCTCCAAAACCCCTCCAAAATTGTCCACGCCCATTATCTGCCTATGATAATTAACACAACCTATGCTAGTTTTGCAAATCGCCCAACATATAAAAGTGAGTTATGTGATGAGGACCCATACTATACATTTCTAACACAAAACGTTGGGGTACTCAACATTTGCAGGTTCACAATAGGTGTCAATGAGCTGGCAAATAGACAGATAACTTTAAATATATACGTGTGTGTGTGTGTGTGTGTGTGTGTGTGTGTGTGTGCGTGCGTGCGTGCGTGCGTGCGCTCAC